ACGTAGACTGCGAGCTTGCGTCTGCAAAGCCTCAGTTGATATAAAGACTCTGCATGAAGGCGAGTGCCGCTGCTGTCGAGCGTGTAGCAGCGCTGGAAGTTCAGCTGCGAGACACTCCACGTTAAGTGCGAGTCCGGGTTATTACCACTTTAAATTATGTGTACTGCTATTTTAAAAAGAGAGTGACTATATTGACCGACTGAGTTAACCTTCCCCTACAAATTTTTGACGCGCTCCCATCCGTACGATGTATACAGTGTGTACCATGTATACCATTCAGCCTGACAGCCACTAAATTTCGAACAGCGTAACGATCGTAAGGCTGCAGGAGGGGGAAATGGATCTCCGCGTCCGAGCCGTCCAGAAGAGGTCGCTAACTGGGGCTGTCGCGCGCGAGATCGACGAGAGCGACAGCAGCGATTCTGAGCCGCCCCGAGAAGACTCCCAGGACGACGTCTGGCTCCCAACACCCGCTGCGAGCGGTGCTGGTTCGGGTGATGGAGAGTCTTCCGAGGCTTTCAGTGTGTCGGATGTAACCGATTTAACCAGCAGCACTAGCGAGGGTGGTCCCCCCACACGCGTGGTGGCATTACCACCCAACACGGTGGAGTTCGCCTCGTGGGAGGCCTTCGACGAGTACCTGGCTGCGTATGAAGCCCAAACGTTTCAAGTATGCGAGTATCATTCAAGATTTAATGAACGGATGTCTGACCCCGCTGTCCCACTAATTTTGTGCTATCTGTCCTGTAGATATTCAGGGCGCGCTCTTATACCAGCGTGGCAGAGCGCAATGCCAGGATTGACAAGTCACAGTCAAAAGCAGCTAAAATACCAGCATCGTGGGAACAGTATTCGAGGACGTTCGTTTGTACGCACTCAGGGGAGTACAAGTCTGTAGCTACGAAGCGGCCACGCCAAGAGACTCGAGCACAGGGCTGCAAGGCGCAGGTACATATATGTCGGCCTGGTCGGGACTGGTCGGGTCCAGTCGGGGTCAATCGGGTAGTTCACTGACTGACAGTGGTTATATATGCTCTACAGATTAATGTTTGTGTCCAGGTAGTTGATACAAAGAATACGACGTTTGCTGTGCGGATCACTCGTTGTCGACTAGAGCACAATCATCGTCTGACAAGCCTGGATTTCTCTTCACATCCATCGAAACGCATTATCCTCGACGAGTCAACGCTAACTACAGTTGATCTACTTCGAAAAAAGGTGTCAAGAAGTCTGGTATCATCAGCCACCTAATGAAGCACACCGACAGTAACCCCACCCCAAAAGATGTGCAAAACCTCGTCCAGAAACTAAAGGCTCGCGAACAACGCGATGGGCCTTCAAGCACTGACAAGCGGCTTAAGAAGTGGATGAAGCGATTCGGTGATGTGCCAGGGAACGTTGGTCGGGTTTTCTTGGACGACGTTGGTGGCAAGGTAGAGTGAATGCTTTTATCAGGTCTAATGTCAATTCATGAAGTTAACATTTGTTGTTTTGTGTGCTATTGGATACGCAGAAAGTTGCGACTTGCATCACATTGCAAACAAAGCACATGCGAACACTATTCGACCATTTCCTGAAGTTCTGATGATTGACGCAACGCACGGGACGAACCGGTCTAAGTATAAAGTTTTTTCATTCATGGCACACGATACGTTCGGCAAGGGCCAGTTTGTGCAGCACGCGCTGCTTCAAAATGAGCGCTATGAAACCCTGTTGACAGCGATAGAGGAATTCAAAGCGAACAATCCTGCGTGGTCAAGACTTCAATGTGTGCTGGTGGATAAGGATTTCACAGAACTTTCCGTACTTGAAAAGGCATTTCCAGGGGTGACAGTCTTACTTTGCCAATTCCACGTGCTGAAGTACCTACGGGAAGAGATTGCTTCAGCTGACTACGGATTTTCGAGGTCTCAGAAAGAGCAACTTGGCGGTGTTGTGAGCTTACTTGTCTACGCAAAAACGGAAGCAGAGTACGACAAACGCCTCCAGTACATGGTGCATCTTGCGTCGATTGGTTATGCCGGTCCAGTTGCGAATGATCGATCTGGTATCGTAGTCGGTGTGGAGTCGGGCTCAGTCGGTGTGGAGTCGGGCTCAGTCGGTGTAGAAGTCACAGATCATGAACTGGAAGATATTTCTTCTCGCATTGATAAACATCCTTTTGTGAAGTACTTTCGAAAGAATTGGGACAGCTGTCGTGAGCTCTGGTGTGCACATAGGCGCCAGAATACCGTCACACTCGGCAATAATACCAACAATCGCCTAGAAGCCTCTTGGAAGCAGCTTAAAGAGTGGGTGGATTCGTTTATGGGGGTGGATGAGTGCATCGCTTCAACCATGTACTATCAAATGTTACAAGAGCGATTGTTCATTGCAGAAGTATACAAGAATGTGACCGTCCAGCATCCTGATTACGACAGCGAGATGACACTGGTGGCGAATATTGTCAGTGAGCATGCTTGTGAACTTATATTCGGGCAGTATTCGTATGCTATTGGATCTGCGTCGTACACGTTTTATGAGGGGTGCCCAGACGTGTATTTTATCAAGAGTATATCTACAGCTGATGACGCGCTGGACGAGATGAACGCCGAGTATTCAGTTACTAAGCGCGAATGGAAGTACTCCTGTCTATTCATGTGCACGAGATTGCTACCCTGTCGACACGTTTTCTACCTCCGAAAGGCTCTTGGTCAGGAGACAGTCATCCCCACACTACTGTTAAACAGGCGGTGGCTGTTGTCTACTGTGCGTGCGGCGATTGAAAATTCAAGTGTCGTCTCTGACACAGCGGAGCCAAAGTCTTTTGAGGTAAAAAATGTGATATCCTCACAGGCGAGACCGTGGGACTCGAACCGCAAATATCGTGAAGCACTGCAATTTGCATCCCAAATTTGTGACACCATGGCGGGACTCGGCATGACGCAGTATAAAGAAGCATGCAGTATCTTCAAAGTGTGACTGGGCGGTTCAAGAGAGGCAAATTCGAGGATCCCGGTGTGCCAATTTTACCACCAGCTGAATCTGAGCGTCACGGTTCGACTAGCAACTCGCGCGATGTTGCGCTGTCGCCGCCACTACTTACTGGTCACGATCCGACTGCACGGCCGACTCACCACGTGTCGGCGGAACTGCTTACTCGTCATGCGGATACAGCAAATGTGAGTCATGTATCCCCAACTGCCTCTGAGTCTGACCATGCCACAAGCTGCAACTCCGTCGAAACAACACAGGTTGCAGATTTATCGGGCCAGTCGGGGGCATATCAGGTCCAGTCGAGGAAGAATCGGGTCCAGTCGGGGAAGAATTGGATACAGTCGGGGAAGAATTGGATACAGTCGGGGACGTTGAATTAAGCACACTACCACCAGCAGCGAAAGACACGCCATTTGTGATAGCGAGTCCTCCAAGATCGCGAGGACGACCAAGACAGACAGCCAGATCAAAGAAGGAAGCTCGTAAAAAAACTGTCATTGTAGCTCAAGAAGACTCAGAGCTGTACGCTTCGAATTTAAGCTTGGCGTCCGTGGATGCAGCGCTGTCGTCGGATGCAACATACATATCGTCAGCTGCAGTTGTGAGCAAGTTCAAAATGGTGGAGTATGGCTTCAAGTTCAAGACACCTACAGCACGAACAATATCGAGCCTTCCACCCACAATCGCTTTGATACCAGCAGAGTCGATCACGCGGATATTGCGCCCTGAACAAATTGCCATTTGCAGGAAAAAGGTTTCGGCTCTGCAGTCGAAGCACAAAGGCCTAGCAGAAAGTGCCGTGGCGCTGAATATTTCAGGCTTTGGTGCGTACTCAACTAGTACAATTGGGATCATGAATAGGTGGCACAGGGCAATAAAGGTGGTAAAACAGGTCGAGAAGGCTGTGAAGTGGGTCGAAACCATTGACTTCACACTCCCAATACCTGCTGCGTTTCAAGTGGTGCTACAGACGGATATGCTGTCAAAGATGCAGTCAATCCCGCTTTTGTCTGCAAAGGTACGTCGATGAAATCATGCCATCACTACAACACTTTCTAACTAAACGTTATGTTTGACAAACAGGCAGAAATTCTAGATCTCGTCGGAAAAAACAGCTAAGCGACGATACCATGAATATCGTCATGTCCAAGCTGTTCGGAGAACGAAATGATGTCGTCATTGTGGATCCAGGTGTTATCGGTTCCATTGATAATGAAGATAGTCCTGTCAATACCAGAGCCTTCGCTACAATTTTCGCGGGCAAGACGAACGAGAAAATTCTGATCTCTATATGCTGCAGCAACACGCATTGGTGCTGCGTAATGGTGAGCTTAAATCTGAATGATGTGTGTTAATTTATGACCCAATGAGCTCGAGCTATGTCGTTAGAGTCCGAGCGGTCGCAGAAAAGCTGGCAATGCAACTGCCAAACTACGCACCAAGGAAATACCGAGTACACCACTACATGGGCGATCTAGGGGTACAAGTAGATTCATACAATTGTGGTATGTATGTTCTGCTAGCGTTTGAGGTATTCGCTGGTGCCCAAGGTCTGTGCATGCTGAGTAGGAAGGAGTTACAGTATCTGCGCTACAGATACATATATATGTGTCTATAGCTAACCCTTTCAACAAGTTGATATTAATTCTGCACTTACCAGTCCCACTGAGCTCTACTGAATAAAGTTTCTCATGCTCATGACATGATGCCGGTCGTACTTGCACGCTCAAACCACAAAGTCTTCACATCCGGATATACGTATACGGACGCTTGATTGCTCAACTGACTTAATCTGTGTCGGGCATGGTCGGGCATTGATTGGGTGCTGTCGGGCACCATTAGCCTGTCTCTTCCACACCAGTCGGGTTGAATAGCAAGTGCCTTTATTTATATCAAACAGACAAGTATTAGACTTTTTACAGTCTGTATAGTATGGGTTACAATTTCTGGCCCAATGTTCAATGTCGCCTACAATAGTCGCACTTGCACTTGCATGGTTCACATTGTTAAATGCCGCAGACAATTCACATGGCGGCTAGCAAACCATACGGCGAAGTGGCCATCGTGGTGCTTCGAACCCACCCAGTCTCTCGGTGTTGCTTCCGCGTCAGCACTGCTCGCAAACGAGCAAACCTGTTGACCTCGCAGCTTCCATTCAACACTGGCACGCTGTGACAGACAGCCTG